TCTTCCTACTAAAGGTTTTAAACTCAGGACCGCCACTATCCGCCAAGCAGGACGTATGGATGTGGTCGATTTACCCAGCAGCCCTGCCCCCAGGTAAGACAAAATAAGTAAAAATTCCTTTCATTACCTTGCCGCAGGTTGAACAGACGTGCTGACATTTTCCTTCCCAGGTTCCACCTCTGATCCTTGTAACATCTCTCATTGCAGCCATTTTCAAGACCTGAAAGTGTTTGGAAACCACTTACAAATGTTTCCACTCTAAGTGACAGCTGCCCAAACAGCTGAGTCAGTGCGTTGGGCCCCTGGCAGGTGACAGAGCTCCCACTCTCTGGACGTCCGTTGTACGACAACGTCAATATACTTGACACTACTGAACTGCTCACTGAAAAGTGGCTCAGATGGCAAATTCAATGGCAGGGTTTTGTCTTACCTGGGGGCAGGGCTGCTGGGTAAATCGACCACATCCATACGTCCTGCTTGGCGGATAGTGGCGGTCCTGAGTTTAAAACCTTTAGTAGGAAGACCCTGGCCTCTGGATTGGAAGGCCTGCTGGCATTTGAGGTCACCAAAGACCATGAGAGTGACAACAGGAAAGTCACCTGCTATCTCTGAGTGGAGACCAGGCGGAGGGGTCGCCTCCCTCCCAGCGCTGTGGTGGGGGTTCAATCACATTACATGCACGGAAACAATTTACAAATCGCCAAGTGCTCTAAGAACGTTGGAGGCATGCTGGGCTGAATTCGTCTCCTCACTGAATTCAGCGCTGAAGTCCTGACACCCAGCACCTCCGAATGCGGCTGTATTTGGAGACAGGCCTTTAACGAGGAGATTAAGCAAAACGAGGCCATTAGGATGGGCCCTACTCCCTGTGACTGGTGTCCTCTAATGAGAGGGGATTTGGACGCCCGCAGAAATGCCGGGAATGCATCCACAGGGCAGGGACCAGGTGAGGACACAGGGAGAAGACGGCCGTCTGCAAGCCAAGGAGAGAGGCCTCAGAGGAAACCCGCTCTGCCCTTGGTCTTGGGCTTCCAGCCACCAGAACTGCCAGACAATGAATTTCTGTTGGTGAAGCCCCCTAGTCGGCGGCACTTTGTCGCGGCAGCTTGAGCAAACCAACACAAGAGTCAAGTAGGGAATAAAACTAGAAAATGACGACACTGAAACGTCCGCTTACTGATAGAGGGCTGCAGAATGGTGTTGCAGAAACAGAGCAGGCCTGGGATCAGAGACGTTTGCATCCTGCTCTGCCACCGACTTACTCAGTGACTGGTGAGTAGTGTGTCCTCTCTCTCCCTTAGTTTCCTGGGATCGCGGGGTGAGATGAAAGTCCTCGAAGGGCCATGCCACCACAAACACTCTCTGATTCCAATCCTCGGTCCTCTGTCTTACAGTTGACTTGAGGACCTTGGGGAAGGAGAGGAGAGGCGGTCTGTGTCTCTTGAGAAGAGCCTACAGCCAGCAACTACAAAAGAAATGGTTTCTTGTAATTCAGTCTCCAATAGCCTTTAAAAGTGGCATTTCACAAGGAGTACCAATCCATTGCTAAGACCACACAAAGGAAGCAGAAGTTCTCGCTCCAGGGTTGTTCTGACACATGATTCACGAACGTCCCCAGACCTGCCATTCTGGGGAAATGAATGTTGAAATGTAAAGATGCTGGGGCCGGCCCAGTGGCATAGTGGTCAAGCTCCTGTGCTCTGCTTCAGTGGTCTTGGGTTCGCAGCTTTGGATTCCGGGTGTGGACCTGCACACCACTCATCAAGCCATGCTCTGGTGGCGTCCGACATACAAAATAGAGGAAGACTAGCACAGATCTTAGCTCAAGGACAATCATCCTCAAGCAAAAAGAGGAAGATTGGCAACAGATGTTAGTTCAGGGCCAATCTTCCTCATTAAAAAAAAAAGTGAAAATGTTAAAATCCCATATTTTAACCCAAATAACACTTTCCAGCCTGGTCACCTCAATGTGCTGATCAGAGGTAGGGCTCATCCACAGCCAGAACCAGTTTGGAAATGAAACCTTGGAAGAAACTTTGACAGTTTTAGAAAGAAAGGTTCTTGTCGTCCCCCAGAAAATGCTGGTGAGTCAAATCCTTTGCAGCTGAAACACTGATGGCAACAAGGTTCACTTGTTCGAAGAACAGTCCAGCTTCGTACGGACTTTCCATTCTCTCTTAGCCACAGCCTCTTTCATTTTGATAAGCCGGAATTCCAGTGCATGAAAATTACTTGAAATTGGGTCATTTCCTGGTGATTGGAAAACTGTTTTTCTCTTAGAGGTCTTGGCTTCGTTCAGGGATGATATTCCACCCTCGAGGTTGCACGCTGGTCATAAATGGCCCGGCCACACTGAGGTGGGATGTCGGCCCCGGCTTTCCACAGGAGTCAACCCTCATGGCTCCCTGGAACGCTGTTCCGTCTCCACACCCAGGGAACCCAACATGCGTTTCTGAGCTTTCCTGAGGCAACGAGATGGCCTGTGCATGTGCATGCACACTGTGCACACGTGCGTGCGCGTTCTGCAGGGGCCTGCAGCAGCGGGAGGCACGGGACAGCTGATGATCGGGCCTTCAGAGTCTCTTCAGGGATGGAATTATTCACAGGGTGTGAGGGTTAGTTCCATGTGTCAGCTTGACTGGGCCACAGGGTACTCAGATACTTGGTCAAACATTATTCTGGGTGTTTCCATGAGGTTGTTTTGGATCAGATTAACACTGAAATGAGTAGACTGAGTAAAGCAGATGGCTCTCCCTGATGTGGGTGGGCCTTATCCAAGCAGTTGAAGGCCTGAATAGAACAAAAGGCTGACCCTCCCCCAAATAAGAGGGAAATTCCTTCTGCCTGATGGCCTGCCAACTGGGACGTTGGCCTTTTCCTGCCTTTAGACTCAAGCTAAGGCATTGGCTCTTCCTGAGTCTCCAGCTTGCCGACTTGTCAGCCTCCATAATGGTGCGACCCGATTCTTTGTGATAGCTCTCTTTCTGTATTTACATATACATCCTGTTGGTGCCGTTTCTCTGGAGAACCCCGAGGATGACACAGGCTCTGGGAAGACATTTCTTCGAAGCTCATCCTGTTAGACGATAGCAAGCTTTGGATGCTGTGATTTTTCAGGCTCAATTAGATTTTTACTTCTTTTTTTGTTTAAGGAAAAAACCACATTGCCTCTAACTTAGTATTTAAATATGTTCATTTTATTTGGCAGTCTTTGAACAAAAAGCTTCTTCTTTACACAGAAGGGTCAGTGCTTCTGTTATATTTTCTTCCTGGCGGTGGGAGTGAGTGGGGCCCTTCGGGGGGTCCTGCTGTCTCAGTCAGGCTCTGTTTCCTCTTGTGGTGTTTAGCTCCTTTGGACAAACTTTTATGCTTGTTTCTTTGCTTGAGAGTGTCTCCTGTTTGGAAAGAGGAGATCTTCTTGAGACATTCGAGGTGTTCCTTTGAGCCTGCATTTCAGCCCCTCTCGCTGCTCTCTCATGTGGGTGAGCACTGAGCTCGGCCGTGGGGCTGGGAGACTCAGGAGCACGGGCCTGAGGTGGTGCTGGATTTCCTCCTTGGTCATCCCTGACCCAGGACAATGCTTTCCTCGGGGTCCTTCAGGTGCGGCCCTCCCGCCGGTCCTGGGGCTAAGAGCTCCACAAACATCACCTCATTCACCCCTTGGCCCCCCTATGAGGCAGGTGCTCTGAGTACCTCACTTTGAGGACGAAGAAGCTGAGGCTTAGGACGTGCTGTCACTTGCCCAAGGTCACCCCATAGTGACAACTCATTTGGGGCTGGGTCCAAATCCTGCACTCTGAGCCACTGCCCAGCTCCCACGAGTGGTGAGTCTGACCCTGTGGGTCCACACAGAGAGGAGCAGCTCGGTGAGCGCCACTCTTCAGTTCCCCAGAGGACCGGGTGACTGGAAGGAGAGGGAAGAAGAGAGAGTCCTTGCAGGGGGTGGGGAATGAGGCCAGTGGGGCATTCTGAGTCTAAGGTGCTGGACGTCACCTGGAGATGCTCAGAGGATGTTAAAGATGCAGGACAGAATCCTAGAGAGGTCGGGGCTCACATGGGCATTGATGGCATGGAGGGAGAAGCGGAAAGTACGGGCTTAGGTGAGGGGGACAGTGAGCGAGGTGGGGAGAGAAGAGAACTGGCAGGGTCTTGGGGTAGGGGGTGCCGCAGCCGGAGGAGGAGCAGCAGGGAGGTGGGAGGAGCCAGGTGGAGGTGGTCACAGGGATGGAGGAGGGGTGTCTGAGGGCCAGGCTGCCATCTGCTCTCCCCAGCTAGTCTGTCCCCTTCAATGTCTCATTTCCTCTGAATCTACCTCAAAACCCAGAGGGCCTGCTCTGAGCTCTGCTGGGCTGGGCGGTCCCCTCCCCTCTCAGGGACAGCCCACTGTGGAGCCACTCCTGTGATGTCATATCTGGGGGCTTAAGGACTCTCGTTCCTCCCCGTCCCTGCATTGCTGGACCCCAAGCCCTGGATGCCCCACTGTCTTTCCTGGAGTTCCCACTGCCTGTCCCCCAGCACATAGGCACGGGGCTCACTTACAGTGGCCCCGTCATGGGAGAGGCCCTGTCTCTAGACACTTGACTTACGGGAGACCTTATCATTCTCCTGTAGGAGCACTCGCGTCCCAGGGAGCTGGGATTTGCCAAAGCCCCCCTTGACATCTGTATCTGGAGCAGCGGGAATTGGCTGGTGAAGGACGGGCTGGTAAACTTGCAGCAGGCTGAGCGACCACTGACCTCCCTCTCTTCCCCTGCTTGTGTCGGCCGGTCCTGCTGTGGGAGGAGGTGCAGACCATGGGGCCCGGGGTTTCAGGGCCCAGGCCTGGCTCTGACCCCGTCAATTCTGAAGGGGGGGGTCCACTTCAGAGCAGCTCCCGGCCTGTGCTTGGCAGCAGCTTGTGCAACTGGGAGGCCCCTAGTGACGTGTCTGGGACCCCATCCTCGTTGGCATTTAAACCAGGACGAGACGGCAGGCTGCCTCCTCTAGCATGATCGGGGCTGGAGGAGCAGGAATAGTCGGGACCCAGAAGTTTCCCAACAGGCTGGAACAGTGGGGCACATCTAGCCCCTAGAATGTGGGCTCCGTGAGGGCAGGGCTGTCTGTGTCTGCAGGGATAAATCTCGAGAACTGAGAACAGGGCCGGCACAGAGTAGGTGCTCAAGAAACATCAGATGAAGGTTGAATGAAGGTGACCGGGTGTAAACGTTTGGTCCTGCGCTTGGATCTACAAAAAGCCGACTGACGTGGCCTAGCACAGCCCGTGTCCCAAGGCCTCAGTAGTTTCACTGACATCAGCTTGAAAGTGATGGTGCGACGTGTCCCTGAAACCAATGCAGACTTAGGGTCGTGGGCAGATGTGTGGCGTGCGGAATGCTGGGTGTGGGTTAGAGCCAGCAACGTGTCCACGGAGGTCTGCCTCGGGGGGACAGGAGGACGGGAGGAGGACTGGCCTGGAGAAGAGGCTCGGAGGTGTTCCGGAAAGTTCCAGGGAGAAGTGTGGGGCTTGGGGGAGAAGCCACGGGAGGACATGCTTGGGCCAACCTCAGCAGTTAGGAAGTCGTACCTGAGAAGGCAGTGAGGAGGGGTGGGAGGGGAGGACCCCCCCCCCCGATGTGAGACTCAGCCCCAGGTAGGAGGCCGCCTGCAGCGAGGGCCGTCTCACGGAGGTTGGGGACCTCCCGGGCCTGGGCACCAGGGCCAGGCAACCTCCGCAACACGGGTGTGTGACAGTGGCCTCAGGAGTCCCGGTTGATCCTGGGAAAGAGGAGATGCCCCTCGCTCAGTTTGGCTGGGAGGGGGAGGGGACATCGTGTACTCGGCCCAGGACTCCTCGGATCTGGACTCGGTGGGCCGGGTGTCCCGTATGGACAGCCACCAGGAGACTCCTGTGCGGCTCCCTGCTGCTCTCCCCAGGGCCTGACCATGCCACCTGCTCCTTCAGGGAGCTGTTCACAAGGCACGTGGTCCCCGGGGCAGACGTGTTCCTTCTCTTCACACCAGGGAAAAAACCCCTGCATGAGGAGCCATCCTCACACTTATCTGTCACCAAGGTGGCCCCGAGTTCTGTTTACCTAAAGCGCTTCGAAGGTGGTCAATGATGTTTTCCAGAGCTGCTAGGCTTTTAATCTGAAAAAGTCTTTCTTTCTCCTTTTCTGTGGGAAAAATTAAGCATAATGATCAAGGTTTGACAAACAATTACAGTTTAATTCCAACCTTGTGTTTTTCCTCTCAACGGGGCCGTCTGGTGCTCCACCCCTGCTCCTTGCTTCTCCCCTGTGCTGTCTTCCGAGTCCCTGGGTCCTTCCGTCAGCCTCCCATTGCCCTCCCCGTCAGTTAGGAAAGGTGCTGGAGCACCAGCTGAATTTCCTTTGTCAACACATACTCTGTCTACGCATCAACAAGTACACAGCAAGTCACGCGTGCACGTCTTCTCCCTCATCCTCCATCCCATCAGGGGACATCGGTTAGAGTTTGACAGGTATCAGTAAGAAACCAAATATAAAAGACTGGCTAAAGAAGATCTAACACCAAGAAAAGGAGAATTTTCACTGTAAGTACCATCACACCTCTTACCGGCATAAGGGAACCGATCCAGCCCAGGAAACTGAGTGAGTGAGCTTCCAAGAGGTTCCCTCACTCAGCAACATAAGAACAGCAAAGACCCCTCTCCAGCTGGTGACGGCATCTACAAGAAGCCCGCAGCCAACAGCGTACATCACGGCACAAAGCCGAACCGGTTCCCCCTGAGGCCTGGGAGGAGCCAAGGATGCTCCCTTCGTCCACTTCTATCCAAAACCTTCCTGGGGGTCCTGGCCAGCACAATCAGGCAAGTAAAATAAACAAAATGCACAAATGTCAGAAACGAAGAAGTAAAATCTGTCCTTATTTGTTGATGTGATTGTTTACCTAGAAAAATTGTAGACAATCTACAAAAAAGCTTCCATCCTCTTAGTGTAGAGTCCTGGGCCCAGGACAAATTCTGGTGCGTTTTCTCAGGTGGAGGGTTTTAATTCTCCGGCTCCTCCCACAGCAGGGGGTCTTCGCCTGAGTCCAGGGTGCCAGCGTTTGTTACTCCTCTCTCCCAGAGGGAGAGTCTGCTTCCTCTCTTTCCCAGCATAAAGTAAATAAAGAGAGAAAGCACAGCTCTTCCTTACAGTAGAGTTCAAACCAAGAAATGTAGAAGGAATGATGGAAATAGAAAGTCAATTTTTGGCAAATACTCCAGTCACCATTTTTGCAGGTAAAAAGCAAACAAAGCTATATTAGGGGGCTGGCCCCATGGCCTAGTGGTTAAGTTGGGTGCACTCTGCTTTGGCAGCCTGGGTTCAGTTCCCCAGCGTAGACCTATGCCACTTGTTGGCAGCTATGCTGTGGTGGTGACCCAGATGCAAAAAAAATGAAAGCAAATGAAAATAAATTAGTAGGTGAAAACATGATGAGAAATAGGATATTTTCACAGTCTGAAGGTATCTCCCCACAAGATACTAATTATTAACAAATGAAAGAAATATTAACTTGATTATGGAAAAACCAATTATCCACCACTCTAAATAAGTGATCGAAGTAAACTTCTCCCGTAATGAGACATGTCTTCATCACGTGGATCCTCCTGTGCTGCATGGAGACAGGCTCAGCATCACTTCTTCAACATTCTCGCCAAAAATGCCTAACCTGGATCTAGTCGTGGGGAAAATCCAGGCAAACCCAGATTGAAAGTGATTCTACAAAATAACCAGCCGGTTCTCTTCAAGGCCATGAAAGACAAAAACGGACCAGGGGACCTTCTAGATTGGAGGAGACTAAAGTGACATGACAGGTGAGTGCAATGTGGAATCCTGGATGGATCCCAGAACCAAAAAAAAAGACGTTAGTAAGGTAGTTGGCACAATTTGAGTCAGGTCTGTAGGTTACTTAGCAGCATCGCCTCTTCGAGGTCCTGGTTTTAGTCCATAGTTGTACTCGAGTTGTGTAGGATGCTAACACCCAGGATGCCAGGCGAAGGAGCACAGGAAACTCTGTGCTGCTTTCACAGATTTGGATAAGTCTAAAATCATTTCGCCATGGAAACGGTTTTAAACGCTTGCACACTCCTTGTTTTACCCGCCTTGCTGTTTGCCTGCTACTCAGTCCCCAGGCACGCCAACAGCGCGTCTGTCCCCTGGGAATCCTGCATGCGCGCACACACACAGCAGCCCACTTCTGCTTACAAATAGCCAGAGGCACTCGTCTCTCTACAACTGAGTATTGCAGATACACAGGGACCATCCTAATCTTTGCTGAGGATGGCGGTGCTCCATCCCGCTCAGCAATTTCCTTCCTGTTCTCTCTGCAGCTGGGAGTGAGAGCCACAGGCAGCCTTGGTGTCCCTCCCCAGAGAGTGAAGAAGCCGCCTGTCTAGATCTCAGGGACTTCATCTGCCTCTGCAGGTGCCAGTGGCACCATCAGTTCCCTGTAACTGGCCCATCAGACCTCTTGCCCGTGGCCCCGCCCTTCTCGCAGCGCTCCCTTTAGGCTTCTATTGTGACCAAACTAAAATGCTGACAGGCTTTCGTGAAACACTCTGACTACCTCTTCGCACCATCTCAGTCTGTCCTGCCTGGGTGTTAGTTCCCAATCCACCTCCAGCCCGTGAGTGATATGGGTGATCCCTGAACTGAGTGGTGCCTCAGTTTTTCCACCTGAAAAATACAGGAGTGGGGCTAGAAGAATTTTGCTCTCTAGCTAGGTGGAGCACAGTCCACTTTTGCCACCCGCAAGCTGCTGCCAACATAGGAGTTCTTCTCTAGCTGAACTACACTCAAAATAGTCTAAGTGATTAAGATGACGGACAGCTGTGAAAGCAATGTTTTAGAGTGGCAGCCAACCGCAGTCCTCACCTGATCTGCCCTCCCCCAACCCAGGACTTTCCTGTCATTCACACCATTCCTGACGTCCTGCAGCCTGGGCCAGGGGCAGAGCATTGCTTACAGAGAGGAGGAAATGTTTGGATAACAGACGGCTCTGCCTGCGGGCCGGAGATTCTCAAGTGCTGCCTGTGTGTCTTTAAACTCATGGTCTGCTCATCGAGAGTGGGAACACACTGCATGCGTGTGCACTATTTGCATGCTTCAGGGAAGCCCTCATGTCGTGGATGCAGGTCCTTGGAGGAGCACAAGCCATGAGCCTTTCCGGAGACCAAGGGGCCCCTCTGCTTTTCCGTCCAAGCGAAAGTATTTCCAGCTGGCAAATAGGGGCAGGCTGTTGAGCCCAAAGTGCCCGACTTGCTGTCCTCAACCCCAGCATTCTTTTAGGAACCTAACAACAACGAGCTTGGAGCTGTGTTGTAAAATGAGGAGGCTGGGCTAGGGCAGCATCTCAAAACCAAATATGCATCTGCAGCATTGCTGGTTGACAATGTCACTTACCAGAACCTTGGGATTTCTAGGGGAGGGGCACAGGCAAAGGGACACGGTGTGACAGAAGGCTGGGGTCTGGCCTCCTTTCACATGCCATACATATCTGTCTGTCGGTCTTGTGTGTAAGACACTGCCTTTGCTCTGGGGTCGCCGATGGCCAGGGCTTGTGCCAGTGAGCGGTCCTTGACTCTTGGCATGTGGGACACTGGCCATTTGTCAAGAAGCTGGTGGGCCACCACCCGTCCCTACTCATGGAGAAGCCACCTGAAGGACAGGTGCACCAGAGGTGGGTTCTTTGCACCCCAAGCACAGGCAAGTGGCCCGAAGGTTGCACTAACACGGCTGCTGCTGGGACCGGTGGCCTCAAAGCAATGGCGTTCTGGGCTTTTGTTTCATCGGGTGTCAGTTCATCAGGACAGAATGGAGCAGGTTCTGCATGAGATGGTGGCTCGAGGACGCTGCTCTCTGTTCTCCCCACCTTCTTGGCCACCCCCCCACCCCCCAGACTGCAGGCCAGCCGCTGTTTGGCCCCCAATTCCCTCCTAGGCTGGCCCTCCCCAACTCTGCCCCAAACTCATCATTTACCTCCGTTTTCTCTCAGTCCCTAAAGCGGCTGGTCTTGGCTTGACGGTTAGGAGTGAAACAATTCAATTAAACAAATTCATTTACATCAAGGTGTGGGTTTGCTTTGGGGCCCAGATAAATCCGGTGCATGTCCCAGCAGCTCAGGGAGCCGCTCAGGGTAGAAGGCTCTGCACAGGCCCTCTGCCCTCTCTCCGGAGGATTGAGGATGCGCACAGTGGTGGTGGGCACTCCCATCTCGAGCGGTCCACACACACACGCACGCACACACACACACACACACACACGCACACACACACACACACACGCACACACACACACACGCACGCACACACACACACACACGCACACACACACACGCACGCACACACACACACACACACGCACACACACACACGCACACACACACACGCACACACACACACGACAGGTTTGGGAACTTCACCTTCCCTCTGAGGCCCCTGCCCGGCTGGTGGCTTCTCTGACGGCGGGTTCATCCTACCTGGTCCTCTCTCCCTCACCTTTCAGCCCAGACGCAGCCCCTCCCCTTGACTCTCATCTCAGCCTGTCTCAGGATTTGCAGCGTGTTCTTATTTTCTCCTGTTCTTCAGTGAAGCCAGGGGTAGGATGCAGAGACTGTCCCCAAGGCCACTCCAGCCCACGGGCCGTCCCTTCAGGATAGACTCACCCTGTAACCTCTCCTATTGTGGGCCACTGCCAAAAAGATACCCAGCTATATTTAGTTTATAATCATCAGGCAGCTTGCGGCAGTCCATGAGAGGGCAGGTCCAGAGGCGCCAGAAATAACGGTAACGAGAATCCCATTCTTGTTCCATCCTTCCAGACACCAGAGGCTGGCTCACTGGAGGAGACTGGGAAATGGGCTGAAATGCAGGTTCTGGGCCCGCCTGCAGCGCCACTCGGTGGGGCTCAGGAATCTGTATTTGAGTCAGTTCGCGGCCCCCAGGCCAGGTGCACCATGGGCTGGGGAGCTGTGACCTGGTCCCGCCTCTCAGCCCCCCACGGGGTCCCACACGGGTGACCCACAGACGACACATGCTCTTTCTTTAGTGGGGTCTTTAGGGTGAGGAAAAGATCTGTTGCCCCTCAGGATGCCAGCTCCCCAGTCTCGGAGGCTTGGCACACTGGTTTTCATTTCCACGAGCTCGTCTGTTAGAGGGATGCTTTTCCTCTCTCCTGGGGACACCCCTGAGGGGGACACTCTGGGCTCTCACCGCCCCACCTACCCCAGGGGAGGAGCAGTGACAACTGAAAGTTTGGGAAGGAAGGACGGTGGCAGCGCCTTCCTCTCCCTGTGGCATCCGCCTGCCGGGACGACATTTCTGTCCCCCTCCTCTAGGCTCTGGGTTCCCAGGGTCAGACACCCTGCAGGGGGTGGGGAGCAGGGCGTCCCTCAGCCCCGACAGAGACCTGGGAAATCCACCTCACCCAGTGGAGCAGCCGTGCTCCCCCACGCTTTCCATCCTCCATAAAGGAGGTGTCTCCGTCGGCACCTGTCTGCCTCCTCTGGCCTCCCCACCACGTTCTGACTTGGGCAGGGGAGTTACGGGGTTGCATTTACCATCAGAGGGAAGTCTGTCCTCTTTCCCAGAAGAGAATTGCTTTACTTGATGCTTCTTATGAGTACCGGCCAGAAGACTTATTTTAGTACCGGCTTCTTTGATGAAAAGCATGGAAAAAAATGGGGGAGAACATGAATGTACACTCTTATGAGCACTGTGGGCCATGCTTTAAACCGCTAGCGGGGAATGCTAGCAGAGCTTTCGGTCCTACTGAACACGTGCGTTGGAAGTTACTGTGTAAACAGAATCCGGCTTCATCTGACCGCGCCTGAACCCAGCGGCACAGGCCTCGGCAGACTTTGGGGGAGCTCACCCTAGGAACTGGAATTTACATCTGGATGCAAAATTTCAAGAAAATACTGGACGTCCCTGCTGCTGAGTGCGTTGCCACGCACTGTCTGTGGCTTCCTGATACCCGGCTCCCGCCCAAGCGAGTGTCAATCAAATGCACTGCCCCGGTCCTCAGGATGCTGTCTGGAACAGCAGAAGCTGCGCTTTGGAGAAGCGTGTTCTTCGTGTTGCTCGCTGCTGGCCGTGTGGCCTGGGGCAGATCCTTTCTCAGACCCCACTTTTATCCCCTGTTGAGTGGGGGTGTCACTGCAGCCGGGCTCTCTCAGGAGCCTCAGGCGAGCATCGGACGTGCTGGCTGGGGAAAGTGCCTATTCTCCTGGGCCCTGTGTTCCTGCAGTGGCTAAACCCCGTTTGCATCCCAAGGGCCTGACCTCCCTTGCACGCGCATCCCAGAGACCAGCCCAGAATAAAGGGAACTTGTCTCTGCTGTCTAGTCTAAGTCCTCGGTCTTGGGAGGTTATAGAAGTGGTTCAGGACAACTGCTGCCTTCGCATCTCCAGGGCTCCTGCCCCAGGAGCAGCTGGCCTTGAAGACCGCTAACACGCTGGGACTGTGCGCGCAAACCACAGACCTCGAGGAATACGTGCAATTATGGGTTTAAAAAAAATGGGTACTTGCCTTTTTCCTTGAATAATCTTGTTGATAACGTTGCTTCTGTCGCTTGTGTTATAGACGCTGATGATTTGCTGTGATCCAGCATCTCTTGGACTAGAATTTCATCTTGGGAAAAGCACATGGGGTCATGTTAAAGCCAGCGATGCAGGATCCACGCTCTTCTGCGCTACGTGGACCTAAGGCAGCCTGTGAATGCGGAAGCTGGAAACAGGGACTCAGGGAGCTCCAAGGAGCACTGGCTTCCCGAAGAACCTTGTCTGGGGCAGGGAGACCGCTGCCTTCCTAAATCATTTCTGAAGACCTGAGACCACCCAGATTCCCTGGACGGTAAACATTGCCCCCAAAGATACGATGCCAGACACCTGGCCCCGGCGTGGTCATGATGCTCCTTCCTGCCCCTGCTGTCACCCTGTCCCTCTCTGAGACTTTCCTCAAGCTTCCCGTGTATGCACGAACCTCTTTCCTCATATCTACACGACGCGGCCTTGTTCTCTTCCTTCCCATCCTTCCGACCTCTCCTAGGAAGCTCTTAACCTGAGAGTCCTGGACTTTGTGTTGGACACACCCGGACCACACTCTGGTTCTGCTCTCACCGGAATGTAATCTTAGACAAGTTTCTCTTGGGCCTTTGGTTTTCTTGTCTGTGAAATGGGGTCTGTTTTTATCTCATTGGGCTTTTTAGGAGGTTCAAATAAAGCAGTGCGTGTAAGAAGCCCTTAACACAGCCCGGTCCGTGGTGGAGGCTGAACGGATAAATGGCAGCACTCAGTCCCTCCATCAGGGCACCCCTGACTATCCCCCTCCATCTGGACACCCCTGACCGTCCCCCTCCATCAGGACACCCCTGACCATCCCCCTCCATCAGGACATCCCTGACCATCCCCCTCCATCAGGGCACCCCTGCCCGTCACCCTCCATCAGGACACCCCTGACCATCCCCCTCCATTCCAGGGCACCCCTGCCTGTCTCCCTCCATCAGGGCACCCCTGACCGTCCCCCTCCATCAGGACACCTCTGACCATCCCCCTCCATCAGGGCACCCCTGACCGTCCCCCTCCATCAGGACACCCCTGACCATCCCCCTCCATTCCAGGGCACCCCTGCCTGTCTCCCTCCATCAGGACACCCCTGACCATCCCCCTCCATCAGGATACCCCTGACCATCCCCCTCCATCAGGGCACCCCTGACCGTCCCCCTCCATCAGGACGCCCCTGCCCGTCCCCCTCCATCAGGACGCCCCAGACCTGTCCCCCGGCCAGCATCCCCCGCAGGGCACCCCTGAGCCTCCCTCCCCCTCCCTGTTGCCTGAGTCTCTGCCACATGTAGTTGATGGTGGCCGACCCTCTGCTACAGCCAGCTCTGAGCCAACAGCCTCTGCTGCTCTCATGTGGGTCATCTTTGCTTCTTTGCAGAGATCTGGGTTTCTCACTCAAAGCTTCTGCTTCTACCTTGGAGAAGTGTGGAGCGGGGTGGGGCTGCAGTTCTGGTTCGCTGAGCCCCAGAAAATCACCGGAAATCCCAGTGACTCTATTCTTTCTCACCTTTTCCCAAAGGTTGTTGGGGCTTCGGATGGAGAGGGAGCTGTGTCAGGACTGTAACTCTCCCAACACAATACCCGTCAGACCCGCCAGGAGAGGTGTGAGTCCTCGTCACAGCCACTCCCTGACCTGGAGGAGCTGGATGCTTGCCTGGGGCAGTTCACTGACTAGTGGGGTGGCCTTCGAGTTCCTGCACGTTTTACCTAACCATTTTTAGGGTGTGATAAATATAATTCGGCCTGGATTTGCTTTTCCAAAACGGCTGACGTGGCCGTTGAGCATGCATTGTACATCTGCTTTAAGTATTTGCTGTGTCCCAAAGACAAGAACAATGCCCTTAAGGATAAGGATGTAACTTCCCCCACATTGGCATTTCCTTAAGGATCAGCATCTCTCCCTAAACTAAGCATTGATTGCTGACCTGCTGTACTCACCTTGCGACCACCCACCCTGGGACTACCGACCCGCTGTGTTCATTGAATTGCTGTGCAAACTGCTGTGCTGGCAAAGCAAACTTGTGACTATCGTAAGAGGGACATTCCAGTCATGTGGATACATGCTCATTGATGGTATATAAGCACCCTGCACACCCCTACTTCTTTGGAGTGCTCCATTCCTTTGCAGAAGGACTTTCCCCGGCTACATGGTCCTCAGAGTTGACTCATAATAAGCTCGCCCCAATTTTGATTTTTAGATTGGTTACGGATCATTTGCATTGACAGATGTCTAACTCTGCTGAAACTCACACCTGCTGGGGATGTGAATTTAGTCTCCAACCGGGTCACTTCCCTCCACCCTGCGTAACTTGCATCAGGTGACCCAGGAAAGCCCCACTGCCAATCACTCAGCCCCTCCAAACACAGCCAGATGTTTGCCAGGAGGCAGTTCCTTACCAAATACTGTAGCCAAGTCATCATCCAGATTTCTTAAACTTGGTGGCAATTCAGGACTTGAAGCTGGGGGGAAATAGAGACCCCAGGAGGTTAACAATGTTCATTGAATTTGAGCTGACTTCTCTCTAAATAGATTCGGTTTCTCGGTGCCCCCAGCCTGCTCTAGGGGAGGAGCCCTGCCCGCAGCTCCTGGGACGGGCTCTCCTCTGGAAAGTGGGGCCAGGTGGCTGGGAGGATGGACCACACGTTCGCCGTGTGCTCTGAGCTGACATCTGCTCCGGGGCAGCGCTCACTGGCATCCCTCGGGAAGGCTAAAAACGTCCTGGCTCCCAGGATGACTGTGCCCACGCAAGTGCTGAGGAGGGCCAATGAAGAGGGACATGCGTGTCCTTTTGTAAAAAGCACACTTCTACCTCCTGTGTGCACGTTCCAACAGTGGGTGTGTCTGAAAGAGGAGGCACGTGATCTGGAGAAATGGAGGAAGTGCGGGATGCTGCCTGCTTTGGGGTTCTCTGTTAGGAGGGGGAGGGCCCAGAGAGACTGGCCACCCCGCTTTCTCCTCTTTCATGAGCAGAGCGATTCCAGGTGGTCCCACCGCAGGTAAGACACGAGTCTCATGGGTGAGCAGGCCGGGCCCAGATGTCCATCCTCCATGGGATTCCTGGACTCCTGACCTTAAGCCTTCCTGGCCTCGCTGACCTGAACTGACCGCGCTAGGGGCTGGGCAGCGTGCACTGACTCTGAGCACTGGTTTCCCCTCGGCTGCACCCACCAAGGCACTCCTCCCACTCTGCTTTCTTAGGGCCGCAATGTCCCGGTCCATTCCTGTGACTCAAGGTCAAGGTCAGCCTCTTCCCCCAGCCCCAGGTAGCAGCAGGCTGACCAGAGAGAAGACTGCAGCCCCCAAGGACGGCTGGGCAGGGCCCCTTCCCCTCGCTGCAGCACAGAGCATGCAAGTGGCGTCTGCAGACTCTGAAGTTCCAGCACTAAACCAACGACAAGGCTGATTTTCAAATGGTTTTAATGATGGACAATCTGCATACCAATCGACTCATCTGTGCACACAGGCTGAGAACAATGCAGGGAGAGATGCGGAAAGGCCTGCGCTGCGATGACAATGCTCCCAGTGTGCTGAACTCGTCAGCGAAGCAAACAAAAGTACAGTCTCTTTGGAGGAGACATTAATGAGTCATTAAGAACGGGTACAGCTGCGTGGTGCAAGCACTTTGTTAAAAATATTCTTCTCATTTTGTGTCTGTCCCGTAATTATAATGGAAGTATTGTGCAAGTCAGCCAGTCAGCGCATGCAGAAAAATATTTATGTTTTACAATATCTGCACGGTTTTTAAAGTGCATTGTCAAGTGTGGCTGCTGTACCGCGTTTTGCCTGTTGTCGCCTCTTACTGACAGCCTCAGCTTTAAAACGCCCTGCACCCGCGTTATGACAGTCACCGCTCTGTCTCCGTACGTGCCTGGTGCACATCCCGGCCACCAGGGAAGGCGCACTGTGGAGCTCTGCCGTCTGCCCTGCTGAATTTGGGGAAAACAAGGCTGTACGCTCCTCCATCGCGAGGCCATGGCTCCTGCTCCCTCCTCTCCTCATGGTCAGGCCAGCCCGTGTGGCCCACGGCCACAGTGCCCACCCAGGCAGGAGACCCCAGAGCAGAGTAAGGAAACCCAATGTGCCTTTGAGAGAACCGTTTAGAAACTGCCCTCAACTGTCTTTAAAGCTGGAGAAGTCCCTGAAGGTCACCCAAGGTGCTCACTGTGGGGACGAGGAGAGTGGATCTGGGGAGGGGAGAGGCCGGCTCGGGGCTGCATCAGGGGCCCCCATTTAATCCACGTGCATGGAGCAGTTCCTGAGGATGCTGGGGGCAGGACCACCATCAACAGGAGCGAGCGGCTGGAGGGACCGGAGGCAGCATTGGGGACCACACGTCCCCCATCTGTTACAGACCCACGGGCGCTTCCAGCCCCCAAAGGACGCTGTCCTTGGTAAGTGTCTCAAAACTAAGTTTCCTTAAGAAAAGAAGTTGGGAATGTGAGCTTCTTTCGTGACATCGTCAGGCTCAGGGGACTGCCTGCCTTCTCACCCAGACGGAGGCAGGACTGCCCCCAGTTAGCTCTGGGCTGGTACGGGCAGGATGGAACGCACCACCGGGCTGGCCAGCACGTGCGTGTCCTGCTCCCAGGAGACCCCACGACCGTGGGTGACTCTTCAGGGCCAGCTGGTCCAACCGAGGCAGCTGGGGTGGGTCACCCTGTCAGGCCTCTTCCTTGAGCTTCCGTCCTCGGTGACCTCTGAGGAAGGTGGAAGGCAGAGGGGGAGCAGGTGGTCTGAGCAGGCAGCTTCCTGGCAGGAAGGGGGGCTGTGGAGGCCCCAACCCCTTTCTGGCACCTTCTGCCCACTCTGCCAGCGAGTCACATCCCGGAAGGCCGTCCCCGGCCACTGTCTCATCATTCCTCAACGCGGACGTGGTCAGGACAAGGTGATGGAGCCCAGGCATTCGGACTCTGCTCGGGTGGGACTGGAGCCAGCGCCCATGAAAGGACCCTCTGACACCGGGAGGGGTTCGGATGCAGCCGGGCATTAGCGGATGGACAGGCTTCTGTTCACTTTGTTAGTGTTTCAACGACATTGTAGGATGTAAAAGGAAAATGCCCTTATCTGTTAGCAAGGAAACATTTACAGAAATAGTGAGGCATCTTGGACGGTGCTAGAATGCTCGCAAGCACAGCAGAAGGGCGTTTGTGGAGAAAAACAAGACGGCAAAACGTCCGGAATTGAAACTGGGTGATGGAGGGTGTAACCAATTCCGCTGCTTTTGGGTCAGTTAGAAATTCCCACAATAAGACATGAAGAAAAAAATGTACACCACTCTCCCATGGAGTCCTGGATCTTGAAAAAGGCTTTAAAGATAGAAGAACTTTTCAACTTATCCCTTTCCCCCAGGGTGCGGGGGGAATGCTCAATTCAGAGAGACTGGGAAGGCACAGGCCAGGGGGAGCAGGAGGTGGGGCCACCTGGCTTACTTGAGGTGCAGGTGCTCTATCCATCACGACCCCGCGGTGACGTACCTGCCAACGCTCTTAAGTGCTGGAGCTCAGCTTCCTGCCAGCAGTACAGCAGCAGGGCCAAGAGCGCCAGCATTCCTCTACTTGCTGCCATGCTCCCTCCCGCTGAAGGAGGGAGAGGAGGACCTCCTCCTGAAGGCCCCTCTGCTACCCGCCTCTGTCTCCAGGATACTGTGGAATGTCAGGGACCTGTGACCTCACGGCAGGAAGCGAGCGGGGCCTGCCCTGTGTGTGTGGGATGAGAGAGAGTCATGCCCAGAGTCTGGGACAGGGAAGGGGGGGGGGCTGGCTGGGGCCTTGCTCTATGGAAATCCGCTTTACTCACTCTCGTTTCCTGTTCTGGTTCCTTCTTCCAGCTTGCAGATCCTATTTGCACGGCATCACCGGGAAGCCTGTTAGAAACGCAGAGTCTCGGGACTCCGCTCAGATCTCCTGAAGCAGAATCTGCATTCCCACCAGATTCCCAGGACATAGGTGTGCACAGGAAGGTTTGGGAAGCCCTGGGCTACGGGGCATCTTTTTCAGTGGCTACCCTGGCTCTTGTAGGGGAGGAAAAAGTTTTCTTCTACTCTCTTAGGGTCCCTGGGTGGATCTGAAAATTAAACTGACAAAGACAGATTAACAGAAGAAAAGCATACAAATCTATTTAAGATACATTTTATGTGAAATGCAAGTCTTCATTAAAAATTGAAGGTCTGAAGAAACGGTTAGACCCGAGTATTTTATGCTGGGTTTGATGAAGGGGAGACGGTCGTGGAGGAATGTGAAAGGTCAAGGCCTACGAGGTAAGTGTAGTGACCCGGGGGAAATGCAGCTGAGTCTGGTCCATTTGTTGGGATTCTTGTTGGCCTCCCATTGCCTTTGGAGATAAGGCAGTCCTTCCCTCTGGGTACAGGGAGGGCACCTCTCACAGAAGGGTTTTTGACCGAGGCAGGGAGGAGCTCAGAGTGACCTTCCTGCTTCTGCCATTTTCTCAAACTCCTACAGCTTAAGAGACTCAACACGCCGTGGAGCCACGTTTCGGAGTAGCACGTCCTGAAGCCATCACGCCCTGTGTGAAACTTGGAGAAGTTTCACAGCCCAGGATAGATTGTCCCTTACCCGTTGAACCAGTCTCTCGGTCCTGGCCATTTCTATGGAAATGAAAGAAAAAGGTTAATGGTTAGAATAAACTATAAACTCAGTTTTTGAGTCCAGAGGGCAGTCATTGGAGAAGATTTCTAGACGTTGGGCTCAAACCATCTTCAGATGGCATGAGGGTGGGCAGTGGCAATCTGACAGACTTTCCTGGTTTGCAGTTTGAGTGTCTCTGGTGATGTCATCATACGTTCCTGCAAAATGGAACTTTCTGAGTGGCCCACACAGCAACAGGCATGAAGGTTGTCCAGACGTGAGCTGGGTGGTGATTTCTCTGAGTTTGTGTCAAGTGGTTCAGCTTCTGCTTGCGGGGTGTCAGGAAAAGGGCAGTTTTAATTTTTATTGATTCGAGTCAGAAGGGTGGGAGAAAAACTGGAAACATTAGTTTGGAACGTGATAGCCAGATATCGGAGGAAATTAGAAGAATTCAGGATGCAGTCTAGTTTTTTCCCTCAGCTTTATTGAGACGTAATTCACATATAACATTGTATAAGTTTAAGGTGTACAACACAGTGATTTTGTACATGTATATAGTCCAGTTTATAGGCAGGTAGCAAACCTTAAAGACAATGAACAGGCCTAGAATTTAATGCCCACAAGGGTGTGTTGTAGTTTTCCATTGAAACATCATTTTTCTCTCTACAGTCACACGCTTTTTTATCAAAGACAATCAAAGGAAGACTAATTTGTTTGCAAAATGAGTCTAATCTCATTAAATGTGTTCTGATTATCTACATAAATGCAGCAAGAATAGCAACTGACCATGTAGGTACCTCGAGTTTGCTTTGCTGGAACTTTTCATAAGGAATCTCAGATTGGACTTTTAAAAGCCTCTTGAGGCTAGGAAGCCAAGCCAAGGATTCGCCATCAGACTTTGCCTGGGATATCTATAGATTTGGGTGAGTTCCTCTCTTCTCGAGGTCCCCCAAATATCCCAAGTTTCCTGGGCCTAACAGGAAGTGACCTTCCTTACACACCTCACCAGTGAGCAAGGTACTGGGCTGGTTTTCCAAGGAGATTTACTGGCTCCATGAAATCAACCTCAGTTCCTTGAAGCTGTCTGGTCATACCTGATTCCATGCATGTCTGGTGTCAGCAGTGATGCTATTGGCTAGGAGCGCATGAGGCACACATCTGGGCTTGTACGACTTGTGTGGGGCCTCCACAGACATTTCCCCGACTGGAGGCCGTGCTGTGGCTGGACTGACTCTTGTTTGTAGAATGACGGCAGGATGGACTTCAGCAACGAGCATCAAGGAACTTTGAAGAAACTTTATTACTCACAGATCCTGGAGGAGACACGGGCATGCCTGAGGACCACACAGTGACCCCTGGTTGTGCGGAGAGGGTAAACGCATGTGGACTAATCTCTGCCTTTGTTAGGGTCCGAGGGTGGGGTGTTCAGGGATTCATGGGTTCACTCTGTATCAGTGAATTTAAGACATAAGAGTGGGAATTAGGGCACAGGAAGGGAGAATTGTCAGTTATCGAGGTCACCCAGGGCTTTCTGAAGGGGAACTGCGTGGCTGGGGCAGCTGGTTCCTTATCTAGCTGCTTATGACACTAGTAACTGTGTCGTATAGCAGCAATGTGTTTATTCGAGATGGATGTCTTTGAAATGGATGCGTCTGCACTTACACTACAATGGGCGTTCTCAAATATGACATTCGACTGAAAGCCCTGGTAACATAACCAAGGTTTCCACTTGTGTCCTGTCACAAAAAGAATGGATTCTTATTGAATTTATGCAAACAACAGCATTCCCATGAAAGTAGAACAATCACTAAGAGTTTCTGAGTTCTGGAGGGATCAGGTAGGGAGAAAAGATAAATGTTTCGGTTCTGTTTACAAAGGATAATTCACCAAATTGCCATAATTTATAGTTTAGGAGAAAAAGATTTCCTTAAATACGGAAAAACAAAACATTAAAGAACCAGCAGTTTCAAACAGAAAAGCACTACGAATGATAATCATTCTTCCTCAGTCCACTCAGTCCCGTGTAATTAATTCTTGTTCTGTCTGATCTTGGATTTGCAGTTTTATGAATCCATCAGCTTCTCCATTAGTTCTGGCAATTGGTACCCAGACCAGTGATATGATCTTAAAGTTATTTAAGCAATGTCATCAAAAGCGTATGCCTCCAGGCTACCTGCCCTTTCCACAAGTCTCAGAGATGGTCCTTTGTTGTTGAAGATGGGCATGTAGTTGATTGCAAGAACATTCAAGAAAACACCAGAGTAAAAAATAACTGTCTGTGAGTGACAAGGGGCTTAAGATGACTGTAGGTAAAGATGCAATGAGAGTTTGAAATTGATAAGGAAATGTGGTTGTCCCTCTGACATACAGCATTTTGAGATAACTGGAATAATTGAGGACATTATGCCAGGACACACCATGGACAGAAAGGACATTGATAAATTTCTAGGAATTTCATAGAATTTCTGAAACAATAACATTTTACCCATACAAAGATAACCTAAGAAAGATTAAGCACCATTTTTTATTTGAGAATGTTTCCCATGCAATTTAATATAGCGAATAAACCTAGTTAGTTTAACATCTCTCTTTTTACAAGGTGAGAGAAGAAATACTTTGAGATTTTCCAGGGACCCTCTGGGAAATTTCAGAGTCTCAAGGTCAAGATTTAATTTGCAATTTGACTTTGGGAAATTGTCAAAAATGTCAAAAAATTTAAACTTTTGATTGAATTGGATCACAGATCACTATGAAATAATACTTACCTATTTAACCAAAGTGACGTTAAAAGATTTCAAAAGTAAATATAGGAGATAATACGATTGTTACACAAAAACAATCTTAGCACTTTCACTATTGAGAAGACTAAGTTTTCTTTAATAACCAAAGACATGATCAAGATGACATGGAGTACACAGGATCTTTGTTTCCTACGCGGATTACTCAAAAGGCAAAAAACCCTTTCATGGTCTCTTATTAGCAGTCTGATAATCCAAGAAGACTTTGTCCTGCTAACAGAGGAAAAAAACAAGCTCTAGTTTTGCATCAGGACACTGTTGGACTCATTTAAAAACATATCTTATAAATAAATCCATTCGATCTTAGTCAGCTTGACCGCACGTGCTAAGGTTCTCTCTCTCTGTCTTTCACAGCCTCTTTATAATTTTCTATATGCATTCAGGTTTTTGTTCTTTATTCTCCTCTTTCTCGTTCTACAACAACCTCTAAATAACCTCTAAACAAAATTACTCTCCCTTTTTAAAACAAAAAACACATCCTACATACTTCATATTTCATATACTTTTCCTTATTAAAAACACATCCTATTTTCCTTGCATATTTAGTATACAGAGCAGTTCCCCTCCACGTATTATTTCCAGTAGTTTTATTTTCATATATTAATTATAATTCTTAATATTTAGTAACCTTTATTTTTCAGAGTAAACTAGGAAGTAGACAGCTGTGCGTTGTCTGTCTTGTCGGCATGCTGTAGTAAATTAACAGATTTACGAATACACTATTACATAATTTATAGAGGCACATGCTTCCTCACAGTACATTTTTCAATGTGGCAAAAGAACATGTTTACTAATAGACCCAAATATCCTTAGTCTTTCCATAAAAATAATAAACCCAAAGTCAATAAATTTAAACTTATGTTTAGTAATTAATGTTCATTTTACCTTTTTTGGAAGCAATGTAGATAGTCAGTGAATACTTATCATTTCACTTAGTATAACTTTAAGATTTCAAGTTACCAAAAAGATTTTGAAAACGAACCCTAAGCAGACATATTATGAAACATAATTACCGTTGAAAAGTTTATTTATAAGCTTTTATCTCATTTACATCCATTTAATTTATGTATTCTTACCAATTATGAATGGATTGTTCATGAAAACTTCATGAGACAAACAAATCTAGCTATCGTCTTGTCATTTTCTTGTTGACAAGTTTCATAACATATTCATCTTAGGCATATTTAAACACAAGATAGAGCCCAGACTTGAAAATCTCGTGAGCAGACAAAACCATTTGAGCTATGTAAACAAAAGTACATCTAGCTTATTTCATGAACATAAGTGAAACTTAGGTTATTTCTTGTAAATGCCTCTGATAATCATAAAAGAAACTTAAGTCGTCTTCCTGAAAATGGCATAAAGTGATAACTTTTAACCAATCCTCTGCAGCCCGGAAACCCTCAACCCCCACTGTAATAACCAATTATTGTAAAGATGAAACCCTTCCTCATTTCTACTTTATAAGCCGTCTGGTAACGTCATGCCTCTGAGCTTCATATCAGTTTTAAACTTGAAAACCCCCAGTTCACAAACTGTTCTTGTATGCACAATAAACTCTTACTAAATACTATTTATGGATATGGACACTTTAATTTGATATTTCTAGGTTTTTGACAGGCAAGTGTCAAAAAATCACAGAAGAAAAGAACCAAAAATTTAACATATAGCCTTTTGTTGTTGTTGTTTTTACTGCTGTTTTATAGACATCAAGCAATTCATTTGTGTTTTACATTTTGTTCTTGGATTGAATTTTTAATTGTTTAATCTTAAATATCTAGTAGAGATGACATACGCTTATTTGAGTAGTAAACCCAGGTAGAATAAAATCGGATGTCTGATTATATTTAACATTGATGACTCTTAAAACATACCTGATTTTTAAATTAGACCAAGAATATTAAACTTGTCTTATTCAGCAAAGATTATCCCGGATGACATAAACTTGAAAAACTCTTGAGTCGGTTCCTATGTATTTTAAGAATTTTATGTAAGTGATTATTTTTCTCTAAGCCAATTAGCATAGAGCTCTTCAAGGGATCTCATCAGTTAGTCTTGGCAATATCATCCTGAGGTAGGAAAATGCCATAGAATTGACTCTGATTTTTTTCCTGGCAGAAGAAACAAGCTGTCGTCTGCTCAACATAAAGTCTTCCGCTTTTTCACCAGTACTCATGGGGGACACTTTTATGATGCTTATTTCGCCTGAGAGGTAACCATATGTGGTCTGTGGGCTAAATTTTGGGTGAGGGGCCTTTTGGGTATTTCCGAGTTCCTCTTGGTGGATAGAATATTCCGTCTGTCCCCAGTTA